AATGATTGGCAAGGAACTACTCAAGAGGAACTTGGGAAAAGCATAGGCAATGGACAGACACCAATGTATAGACAGAGCCATGGCTTTCTTTGGAATATCCACTTCGACCTATGGGACCAGTACACAATGAAGACATCAAATCCATGCTTGTCCCGGACCTAATCATGCCTAACTCAAAAGACTGGAATCTGACTAAAATCAGAGAAATTGTACTTACCTATGAACATGATATCCTGATAATCAAACAAAGCGTAACGGGAGTCGCTGACAGCTTTGCCTGGCTTGGCACTTCATCAGGTATCTACAAGGCCAGCTCGGGTTACCGCACAGCACGGGAAGAACTTGCTCAGCAACACTGTCCGGATCCTACCCAATCAAACTTCAACTAGAATGCTGAGATTTGGAACATTAAAACCTCATAAAAGCTCAAGCTCTTCCTATGGAAATTGATGAATGGTGCTTTACCTCATGGGGAACACCTTGCAGCTAGAGGTTGTGGTCAACAAGTATAGTGTATAAAGTGCGGTGAGTCAGAAATCGCTTCTCATCTGCTCTTTCACTATGACTTTGCGTAACAGATTTGGAAACTCGCACCACTCAAAGTGACCATCAACTCAAGGATTTTCCCCGATTTGATTACCGGAATCAAGTCTTCGAATTCAATTATCTGCCTACCGCCGATCAAAATCATATCCACTCCCATCCTTCCTTGGATTTGCTGGAATATGTAGTTAGCAAGAAACAACCATATTTTCAACAACCAAATTTATACAGCGGAGGAAACTATGAGAAATCGATTGCTGATGCACGAGAATGGGCATCAGCATAGAACCAAAACACAACACAACCTGAATCTATCCCTGGACTGCAGAGCCGTGACCATTCATTGGATGAATCCCTCCGATGCTTCACCGATGCAGCTTAGAGAACCGACACGAAGACAACGGGACTTGCTTGGGTCATGCGCAATGGAAATCGTACCTTCTCCCAAGGATCGATGATTGAGACGAACATAACCTCACCTCTCATGGCGGAGGCGATTGCAATTCGTGAAACTCTACTTGACGCTAGGAATTCTGGAGCTAGAGGATTTCGAATAGCATCAGATGCTAAACATCTTATCCACCTTATCAACACAAGGACCCCGAATCTGGAGATCTCAGGGATCTTGGAAGACATTCATCATCTTTCTTTAGATCTAGATATCCAAATCTTTGAATTTGTTCAAAGATCAAACAATTCAGAGACTGACTCTTTGGCAAAGTCAGTGCTCTTCAATATATCGGCTAACAACCAAATTTGGTTCGGTTTAATGAAATTAAAAGCTTTTGACCAAAAAAAAAGAGCATTATAAAATTAAAAGAGTTTTGGCTCCATAAACTAGTGAATACAATCACAAAATATATATAGAAAAATTGGCATGTGTATTAGATTTGTTACTTAAAATTAATTATTTATCATTGGCTAAAATATAATTAGGTATCTAACAATTAATCTACATAAAATTTTATTTTCAGGCTTTTCTATTTATCAATGGTTTTGGTTTTTTACTTTTACTTGAAACAAAAATAAAAAGTTAAAACATAGTAAAAATTAAACTGATCCTTTTTGTTTTACCCTAGTTAAACTCTTATCTAAATTATTCTTTATTGCTTTTTATTCTTTTCCTGAAAATAGCTAACTATATTTTTAGATAATTATAAATAATGTAATGTATTTAACTATGTTATAAGATCAATTGAATAAGTAGTTTTGAAAATAGTTAACTATGTTATTAACTAAATAATTGTTCATGCTTTTTTTTRWTCTTTGTTTTTTGTCATCTTCTGACTTTTTTTCCATAAAATTGAATATATTCAACTATACGTCTTTTTCTTCTTTTTTGAGATCCAGCACCAGCCCTACTTTCCATCTTTTTTCACCACTGATTTTTATGATTTTTTATTACCATCAATAATTACTAAATTTAATAAAAGCAAATTTGTCCAACTATTTATTCTCTATGCTACTCACCTCAATTATTTTATGGACATGTTTAGTTGCCTAATTCTTCGTTCAATACATAATATTTGAGCTAATTAACCCATATATATAATAACTCTTCTCAGATACGACAAAGATGATATTCTTCGTCTTTGTTTCTCTTTCATTTGACCTCTGTGATAAGTGACTACAATCACAAAATATATATGTAATAACGTGTTTCTCTCTTATTTGACCTTTGTTCTGAGTTGGGCGTCAACGCTTCGTTGGAAAAAAATCCTAAACCCAATTTTCTGAAATCTTCATGTGATTGCTGACGTGCGGGAGCTGGACCCCCTTATTGTTTTAAGGAACTAAAAGTCGTCGAAAAAATTTGGCGCTAAAAAGAGGAGAAAAGTCTCTTTGAATTCTTTCGCTCAGTTCCGCCACAAACGAAGCAAAAAGCGATTAAGCACGCATGTGAAAAGTGTGAGACAACAGCAATGGAATCAAGGAAATCCTCGATTAATCTCGACCGGGAATAGACACGATCAAGAATGTTAGCCCTTGCAGAAGGCTACCAA